AAAAAGGCAGACCGCAAGACTCAACACTTCGGAGAAATTTGAACTCTTCCTATCCAATGAAACTCAAAAGTCATCATTCATGCTCGCGAACAGACACAGTCGAAAAGTCCGCTGTTTCCATCTGTCCCACAATGAATTTTGAAAAGTAGTAGCTTCGAGTAATGCTGTAGTAGTAAAACAGTTAGTGTTGAATCGATCAATTGGCATCAAAACAGCATAACCGATCATGTAAAAGCAACTTGTGAATTGAACTTGCGTAATTGAGTTTACTTGTTGATCAAAACAAAAAATAAGGTACCTGACAAAAGGGGAAAACGGTAAAATATGAAAATTAAAAATTACTCCCTTTTGTAGGGCTGAGGAAGTGTGTAAATCAATTGAAAGACCTCCTCAAAAATGTAGTAAATTATTTATGGAACACAAGGCGTTTGTTTATATCACATTAATTATAATGGAAAGGCTAAAATGCCAAAAGAGTGCATCTCTTTCTCCCTTTCCCACCTTTCACCATGGCATATTCTCTAACCGATTCTATTACATATTCCAACTCCATAGATTCGATTCTATTGCAGGCCGTGGGGAAAAATATATTACGACGCAATGGAAATTGGTGTTAAGAGCCTAGCCGGAAATGGAGAATCAAAGAGTTATTAAAACTGAGCCATCTATTCCTTCCATCTTAATATACAGCTCTGAGGGGAATTCGTAAGCTTAATTAGCGTTGCTAGAGATTGCCTTTTCCTCCCCAGCTGTGATTTATGTCCGTGCCAAGCGGGGGCCGCTCAGAATTCTCTTCCTATCCTCGCCCTTGCTCATCTTCCAGAATTTCTCCTCTGTTAAACAATCGCCATTTAATGACAGGAGCTGGATTTACTTCGGTAGACAGTTGTGTCAAATTTAGGCGGATTTCAAGAAAAAGTGAACTTTTTTACTCGTGAAAAATTGTTTAATGTTAAATCCATTCCCCCTCCAGTAAAAAAGTGTTTATGTCCGTCACCACACAACCTTCTGGACTAATACTATATCAAGAGGAAATAAAATATGAAAAACTAATTAAAACTCGTTTTCACAGTATAAACCCTGTAGCAATTCGAACTCGAACTTAACGTAACGTAATGTCTACCCTTTCAAGGAGCACCGAATATGCTAAACCAACATGATGATGATCGTTGCAAAACTGTAGAAATGTGCGCCGTACAAAATTGTATGGAAGTTGAGAGGCTGGGAGACTGACAGACAGAGAATTAGAATGATAGATAGGTAGGTAGAAAGATAGATGGATGGAGACAGGGATAGAGAGAGAACGAGAAATAATGAATAAATGAATGAATATCGTTTTATTTAAAAATTTCGCAAATTTAGATCGCTAATCGTCCTCTATTATGATTAACGATAAAGCGAAAAAGAGAGAGAGTGAGAGAGATGAGAAATAAGTAAATAGTAAACAGAGATAGAGAGAAAAGAAGAGAAGTTCGACAGACGTCATGGAAAAAGAAAGAAGGAAAACAAATAGCTAGATAGAAGACACAGAAAGAGAGAAGAGAAAACTGGATATGTAAATAAGTAGAAGAGAAAGGAATAACAAAACACGGAGTGAGAAGGACAGACGGATAGAAAATGAGAAAGATATAGAGGATCAAGGGAGGGCGAGAGAGAATGGGAGAGTGAGTGAGTGAGTGAGTGAGTGAGAGAGAGAGAGAGAGAAAGAGAGAGAGAGAGAAGAAGGTAAATTGATTGATTGATTGATTTAACCACAGAAAGTTAGGTCCCTTCGACCTTTCTTCCACTTAACGCGAGTTATATTGATGCAATGATGCAGACATTTTTAGTCTTTACAATTTATTTTACACATAGAATACAAAAAGAAAGAAAGAGAGCGAAATTGAGAGAGAGAGTGGGAAAGAAAGTATTTACATCTTTCATTTTCTCTCTCTCTCTCTCTTTCTCTCTCTCTCTCTCTCTCTCTCTCTCTCTCTCTCTCTCTCTCTCTCTCTCTCTCTCTCTCTCTTCTACAAAGGAATAATAATAAGATAATATTTGCTACCCACTTTTTTCATATTAGGGTACATTTAAATTTAATTTTTTCTGTAACTTGATTTGGCTGATTTTTCAAGAATCGGCTTTGGTCCTACGAACCCCTTTGTGACCTTTATGGTGGTTGGTTCAGATCTCGAAAGGTCCTTAAAAACCCTTATTTGATAGAGTTTCAAAGTTGGCCAGACAATATTAAGTTTTTCAGGGTCTAGTTTGATTTTTTCTAAACCTCATGTTCATTGCTTAACAGGCCCAAATTAAATATGTCAGCTTTGTTCATTATAAATTTGCGAAAACACCCCTTCAATCTTTCTTTCTTTACTATCAAGATGCTCTATTACGTAAGGAGTAGATCGAAAGAATGGTATTTCTTTGTCGATTTGCTACTTCCCCCATTATTCTTGGTTCTCTAACGACCGGTGCTGGAATGGTCCATTTTTCCAAATCGTTTCGAGCTAATCTCGGCCGATTCATCTCACTTGCTCCACCGATACCCTCGAGGATATTGATAGTGTGTAAATGAGGTCGTAGGTTCCACTATGAATAATTCACAGGCATCACGCCCTGGATAGCCTTTACGATTTTTCGCCTAATATTTCAGTTGATTCGGTTCTTTTCCGCCGTTCGTTGATATATTTTTTCAATATATTTATAAATATACTTTCAATTAATATCCCACGCTGTTTATATTTTGGTATAGGTATCAAAACATTTCGTAATCTAGCAACAATTTGTTGCGGGTCAGAGAAGCGGTCACAAAGAAATGAGCATGGCAAATTTCCGCCAAGATTTCGACATTTATTACCGTCTTCTTCAGAATTCTATAGACAATTACGACAATTTTAGCTTACAATAACAATTCGGCGTACAATAAATCAATGAAATAAGAGAAGTCAACATACACTTTACATAAATTTGATTACAATAAAACATTTTTAAACCTCTAAAAAACGTTACATAAAAAAGATATTTATAAAACTAAAATTAACAAGTGTAACTAGATTGTTTTTATAAATATAGGAAGGTAACCAAAGGTGGCTAGAATTAGGATTGACAAAGTGAACATTAAAGTTAGCTAATCTTGTTTTATGAAAGGTATTGGTTGAAATGAAAAAGTTAGTGTCTGAGTGGATCGAAGTCACGATAGCTCAAGTTGCAGAGCAGCGGCGTATTTAGCCGAAGGTCGTGGGTTCGAATCCCGCTCGTTACACTGACTTTTTTATCTCAACAAATACCTTACATAAAGATTTATTAATTGAAAGAATTTATTTGGTCAATCTGACCACGAATTAAAGGGGTTAAAATTAGTCTACGTCCCTGGAATCATCTTTCCCATCATCTGTATACTGGGCCGATCTTCTGTTTAAAATAACAATACATACGTTTAGTTGAGTGCAACTTTTAACATCAACATTAAGCATTTTTCACAATGTGTGGTGATTAGTGACCGTTAATCGATAATTATTCAGAAATCGTGAGATGCGGTCTGGTGTGATGTAGGTTTCGGAAAAACATTTTCTTTAACGTGCCAACGTTTCGATCTTTATTGAGATCATCTTCAGGGCCATGTAAACGTATATAACATAAACGTATATAAACATATATAAACATAAAACAGCAATATATCACTGGCACTCTCAACACGACACGCAAGACAGGTACAATTACGCAGAAAACAAACACTTTAAGTAAGGAGAAATACTTTGATTGAATATAAAAAATATTTTTTTGCATTGTATAAATTCACTTTTTTCCACTTCCTACTATACATTTGTTAAATTTAAACAAAGTTTTTAAATCCGAGGCCCTGAAGATGATCTCAATAAAGATCGAAACGTTGGCACGATAAAGAAAATGTTTTTCTGTAACCTACATCACACCAGACCGCATCTCACGATTTCTGAATAATTATTTTTCACAATAACAAATTCATGTTGTGTACTTTAGAACTTATATTGCCTTGTTCTCGGCCTGATTTCATTTTTCATTTGATTATTCTTTAATTTTTGTTTTAATAGGATGTCTTCAGAAGGCCGTCAAACGTGCACCTTCCTGGAAAGTTACTCACTGAAGATGTCGTGAAGTTAAAACATGTATGAGTGGAACGTAACCCAGCAAGGAAAAGAATGTCGATCAGTTCAATGTGTGATTATATATGCATATATGTAAATAATAAATATATATTACTGGTGTAACTAATTCCTACAATAACAAATTTTAACATGTTAGTATTTTCAAAATATGAATATGAACCTAGCGATCAATAAATAATTTACCTCAATGATTCAGTGTCAAATTCAATTCTATAATAGATTAATCGGGCCTTAGGTATAAATTCAGTCGGAGTGAAATAGGTAGCCCATAAAATTTAGCCAATCTAAAAAATCGGCAGATACTCTTACATTTACTCAGTCAGTTTATGGCTTCCTTTCCTTCCGCCGGCCTCGTTCGGGAAGCAGCTCTTCTGATAAATCGAAACAGTATGTCATGACGGGCCAGACAGGAATTTCCACCCTGGGACAACCGATATCAAAACTTTAAAATTAAACTGGTTGGTAAAAAAAAAAATAAACTTTACGGCCGTCTATTTTCCAGTGCATACCGCTGATAAGATTCAATCACCAGGCCGATTCAATCCCTGACTATCAAATAACGATTTTTTTTCTTCAATTTATATAAAAAACGTTGGAATATATTATTTACTTATTGATGTTATATATTATATTTTAGAATTAATTACAATAACAGGCAAATGCCCAACTAGTAATACAAAACGATATAATATTGAGTTGTTTCACATGAAATGTACGATTTTATAGTTTTAGAAATTCAGAGAGGATATAGCGGTTTTCTGTTGTTTACTTCCAATTTTTTACATAGTATAATTAAGCAGTTTTTAATCCTCCGCTTTTGTTTATAATGATGAGTTCCAAATCCATTACATTCTTTTTACTAGACCACCAAATATGAACATGGAAATACGAGATTTTCGTGTAATATTCCTTTACCAGTTTAAACTCGGTCATTCAGCAGCTGAGGCTGCAAGAAGCATCAGTAAGCCGTTTGCGGAAGGGAGTGTAAATGAACGGACCATTCGCCATTGGTCTGCTAAGTTTTCGAAAGGGAATTGGAACACTACCGAATTGGAAAACGTGTCCCGCGGAAGACCTCCAACGATCGATGACAATGTCCTTAAGCTTCAGGTGGAAGAAAATTATTATCAAACAGTCAAAAGACTCGCAGCACAATTAAATGCAAACCGTGTCAAGACAATTAAGGAACAGGAAAAGTCAAAAAGCTTGATTTGTGGGTCCTTCATGAGCTCACGGAGCGACAGCGGTTAAAGCGCATTGAGACATGCGTTTTGTTGCTCGCTAGGCAAAAAACGGAGCCTTTTCTTGAAAGAATAATCACTTGCAATGAAAAATAGATTGCATATGACAATCAGCGTCGGTCAGGGCCTTGGTTAAAAAACAGGACATCTGCCAAAACCAAATTTAGACCCTAAAAAATTGATGGTGACCGTATGGTGGTCCATGGATGGAATTATTCACTATTCCTTTTTGCCTAGAGGTGAGACCATTACCTTTACATCATACTGCAAGGAAATTGACGGAATGCATAAAAAATTACTCAAAAAACCTGCATTGGTAAATCGCAAAGGTTCTATACTCCGACAACCCCAGGCCTCATGTTTCAAAACGTACTGAAAACAAATTGAAAGAGCTTGGCTACGAAGTTCTTCAGCATCCACCTTAATCTCCAGACTTTTCTCCAATATATTTTCACCTGTTTAGCAATTTAGACAACTTCGTTGAAGGAAACAATTTTGAAAATAATGTTCAAGTCCAAAAAGCGTTTTCAGATTTGGTTTCATTGCAAAGCTCAGAATTCTTCAGTAAAATATTAAAAATGCAAAAAAAAAGGTCAAGTGGTCAAGTTGGGACAAATGTGTAGAAAATAAAGGAAAATACTTAGAATAAAATGATTTTGTTATTATATAGTAATTTTACTAAAATAACTACCTTGAAAACGGATATTTCAAGTGAAACAACACAATATAAATATAAACATATCAACTCATAAACAATGAATGAGAACATAGAAAACAATGTATTATAAATGCAAACATATTAACTTATTTTTTTAGAATACCAAATACCTGGCTCTTCAGAATCCTAATACTACGTATATTGTGAAAATTCAGTGGAATCATTAAATGAATTCATAACTGACAACGAATATGAGACAGAAGTCGTCATTCCATAAGTTGTTCTATGCTCGGCATTAGGCTTGATTTTATTCGTGTAATTCCTCACTATCAATGTGATTAAGGAACAGTTTTCAAATAAGGATAATTTCGAATAGTTTCATCCTGGATTCAACAATGGCACAATTACACAGAAGACAAATACTTTGAGTGAGTAGAAATACTTTGATTGAATATAAAAAATATATTTTGTATTGTATAAATTCACTTTTCCACATCCTAAATGTATTTGTTAATTCATTGACTAAATAAATATAATTTGACCAGCGGTTCTGACTTTTATGGGCCCTTTTTCAATGTACGAAACGTTCTGAAAACATGAAAGCATTGCCTGAGTACATCACGCTTTATACGTGCAGGAAAGGTACGGCCATTAATTTTTATTTTTAAGACCGATTCATTTTATAAAGAAAATTATTCTCAATTTTTAAACTACGTCGAGGGTTTATCGATTAAAAATGGAAAAGCCCAATGGAAGGGAATGACCACAGGTTACATAATTTTTCGTTCGTATATCTGGATGTAACAAATGTTTAAGCAGGCCTAATCTTGTTTATGATTTATGGAGCGTTTTTCAGCACGTTCTGTACCTTGAAAAAAGGCCCATAAAGGCTACAAACGTTAGTCAAATTATAATTTTTAAGCAACTAAAGTTTTTTTTTGCTGGAGCATTCACCACCCTCTCAGTTTGTATATAATACCAACCATTAGCCATAAATGTTGATTAATGTTAACCTTAAATAACAAAGCACTTATTGTCATACCTTTATTTTAAACTTGTGTAAAAGTTTAAATTTAATTATTTGGAGACTGTGAGGTGCGGTCTGGTGTGACGTAGGTTTTAGTAAAACATTTTCTTTGTCGTGCCAATGTTTCGACCTTTATTGAGATCATCTTCAGGGCTTCAGGGCTCAATCAATCACGGAAAAGTGTTTGTTTTCCGAGTAGATGTATCATTATTGTGTGTCGTGTTGAGAGTGCCACACACACAAATGGCACAAATACACAGAAGACAAACACTTTAAGCCCTGAAGATGATCTCAATAAAGATCGAAACGTTGGCACGATAAAGAAAATTTTTCTGAAACCTACATCACACCAGACCGTATCTCAAGATTTCTGAATAATTACCGATTAACGGTCACTAATCACCACGCATTTCTACACGAGAAGAACGAAGTTAATGGAAAGATTTAGAATTTAATTGAAGTCATCAAAAACATAAGCATGGTGAGGCTACCAGACTAGACAGGCATAATCTATAAAACTGTATAAAAGCAACAAAAATAGGCCTTTAACAACATTTCTAAAATCACCAGTTGTTCTACGGATAAACGCAACTATATCAAACATTTGGAAAATACCATACGAGTATGTACAGAAAAATGACTATCAAAGAACACCAAGATCAGAGTAGTGCGATATATATTTAGATTAGATATCTTGTAACAATATTAAATAATTGATTCACACATGTTTAACGGTCATAAATGACCTATTTAATTATTTCAATTAATTATACTTTTTATCTAAAGTCTTCGTTGAGATAAAACGTATAATTAATTGTAATAATTGATTTTGAACGACTGAAACTAACTATATTAAATTTTTCAATATTAATACTGCGGCCGTTTTTTGAGCACCATTTAGAAAATATACAGATGACATTCTTCACTTTTTTCACAGTCACCAATATAGGTAATGATTTTAAATATTTTAACATCATCAGCAAAAGCTAAAACTGAGGAAGGTAGACTAAAATCAAAGAGATCTTTAAAATACAATATAAATAATATTGGACCAATTTGACATAAACTTTGGGGATCACCTAAGGTTATGTCATATGAAAATTTATCACGAAAAAGAATCTTCGTTTTTCTGTGTAAATGTAGGAACAGATTTCAAAGGATACAAAGGCTAGACAACTTGAACAAGTCTTGCATGGTCAACCGAATCACTTTTAACTAACAATAAATAAGACTTACTATGGAGGAGTTTGAGATTAGCAGTACAGTAAGAAATTACTCTTTATTACTATTTAATTACCAATTTTAATTAACGACAGGATTTTATTATAAAGTATTTTTTAAAAAAAACAAGTATATTCATCAAATGAAATTATAAAATAAACTTAGTACAGCAAAAAATGGCAAAGACTCATAAAAATCGAAAATATGCGCAACACCGTCAGATTTTTTCAGCCACCTCTGACTAGTCGGTTAAGTTTTTAACAATCAGTTTTAGAGATGGAAAGGGAAAAAAATCAGTGATTGGTTCAACCAGTGACAGATGAGAAGGTGGTTAAATTTAATCAGAGTTTGCCGGTGACAAGCCAACTGGTGGATTGTTGTCAGGATAGCTGCCAATTCCTTAATCACTACCACCCCTGGCCCAACCAACACCTTGCCCCCCTTTTTTTTTACTCGAGAGGGCGAAGTTAATTTGTCGCCTCTCGGACAAACGTTTTCACATCTTAGTGTTTTAATCAATTTTGAGGGAAGAATTTAATACTTATATTTTTAAAAAAGTAAAATAGTAAATTGAAAAGAAAGTATCGACCGCTTGATGTTTAATTTGATGTATGATCAGTATTATGGTGAAGGGGTTCAAGAAGAATTTTAAAAAATAATCAGATGAATTAAATAAATAATTAGCTAAGGTAGAGATGGTAACCCCTTGACCATAATACTGATCGTACATTAAAAAAAAAGAACGTCCATAAAAAATGCTTTCATGCTATTAAGGAAGGTCCGTAATATAAATACCCGAATGTTTTCTTAACATGAAAATTTCTTTCCCAGAGAAGCAATTTTATCTGCCTGTAAATGAAATAAACTTTTACAGTTCGTGTAATTCAACAAGGTAAAACTTTTTAATTTGGACGCTTGTTTACCCTCGCTGGTTTGGTTTTACAGAACCAGTTTTTTAACCGAACTACAAGTTTATAACTTCACCGCGGGATAGCCGGGTACGAGGAAGCAGACAGGGGGGTGAAAGAAGCCGCTGGAAGACGCCACGATGTTTCCCAACCTATACGCCCAGCTGACCTAAAACTATTAATTCCAAATTCTATAAAAAGAGATTGGGAAAACCGCTGAGCTCGTAGAAATACAAACAACCCTGCTTAACTGTGGCAGGTTAAGAAAGAAGTCGTTCCCTAATCCACGGAGAACGGTCGAAAAGGAAAAAAGCCATACTGACAGACTACGCATAGGTCATACAAGAATAACGCACGGGGCATCTTCTGGCCGGAAAGCGCCCGCGTAGGTGCCTTTTATGCAAGGATAGAATAACGATCGAGCACCTTTTCAATTGTAGAAGGCTTGATGTATATAGACAATATTTTAGTATATCATCGGACCTGTTCATCTTGGGGCACGCCAGCGGACACAGATCGCTGTTCCGGTACCTCAGGGCTATAGGGATTTTTAAATGTATAGTTTGTTTTTTATGTGTGTTTGGATTGTGTCTGTGTTGAATTTATATTAACTTTTTGTAATAAATGTAATTTATTAGCATGAAAGGAACGGGTTGCTTATAACCCCACCCCGAGGAATATCGTGTACTCTGGGGGAGTGAATGTGACCAGACGTCTAGTTTCTAACAAGTGTTGTGTTTGTGTTAATGTATTGGAATGAATGTAATTTATTAGCGTGAAAGGAACGGGTTGCTTATAACCCCGCCCCGAGGAATATCGTGTACTCTGGGGTGTGTGTGACGTTTTGAGAGTAAAAGTAATTTATTAGCGTGAAAGGAACGGGTTGCTTATAACCCCACCCCGAGGAATATCGAGTACTCTTGGGGTGAGTGTGACCAGACTTCTAATTTTCTAACGAGTGTTGTGTTTGTGTTAATGTATTGGAATGAATGAAAATTTATTAGCGTGAAAGTAAGGGGTGATTTAACCCTGCCCCGAGGAATATCGAGTACTCTGGGGTGAGTGTGTGACGTTTTGAGAGTAAAAGTAATTTATTAGCGTGAAAGGAACGGGTTGCTTATAACCCCGCCCCGAGGAATGTCGTGTACTCTGGGGGAGTGAATGTGACCAGACTTCTAGTTTCTAACAAGTGTTGT